TGACAATGGTGGGAAGGGACAGATTGGAGGGGGGAAGTGCTTAGAGAGACCAGGTGGGAGGCTTTGGGAAAACTGTGTTTTTTTGAACAAGGATGGTGGGAATGGAAAAAGATAATTGTGAGAGATTGTATCGTATATGAAAAAAATTGGTCTGCTGATCTTTAAGATAAGATTAACTTATCTGTATTGCTTTTGCTGACATTTTTAAAAGTTAAGAGCCTGAAAAGTTTGATAAAATTGAATCAAACTCTATGTAATTATTTGGTTTTAATTTATTTCCTTTTTATTGAGCAGAATGCTTACAGATTCATTTGAAAACATTTGACAATGGAATTTATTCTTTTCATTACAAAGTTTTAGCAAGGTTTGAATTGCTTTAAATAATACCCGGAAGTTGAAAGGATGGCTGGTTAATACTAACAATTCTTTAAAGTATTGTATAATTAGACCTAAAGTTGTTGTTCCCAACCACTAGGCCACTGACCAGTACTGGGGTTCGTGGCTTATTAGAGAACCAGGCCACACAGCTTCACCACCTGAGCCCCAGACCTCCTGTCCCATCCGTTAACCCTCCCTCCACCTCCCACTATGGAAAAAATTGTCTTCCACAAAATGGTTTAGTGCAGATTTTAATACATAATTAGATCTTGACTGCCCTCTAGTGGTCTATGTCTCTTAAATGTAGCGTTGGAGGGCAGGGCACAGTTACTTTATCAGTCCTTTGATGCGTGCTGGCTCTGTGCCACGTCCGTGGGGTCCTGAGAATGCCGTCTTTTATCCGACTGTGTTCACAGTCATGAACTGGTTTATAATTCCTGAATTTTTTCTTCTTTGTGTACCAACAGACTTGATGGTGTGCATTAAAAATATATCTGCTAACTTCATTTAATATCAATTATTGATATTTTAGTGCCCATATTTGTTATGACAATATAAAAATCATTTATACAACACACATAAGTTACAATCGTCTAACAAACACATATAAGTATGGCATATTTATAATCAATCAAAGCATAAGGGTCACGTGTTTGGGGGGACAGTTCTGTGCCTTTGATGGTGGTGCTGCCCATTTTTGCCTGGGCGCCCACGTCCAGAGTTCAGGAGAGCCTGTATTTCTAGAAAAAGTTTGGTGGGTGTTTACGGAACACATGCTCTGTGCTCAGGCTCTCAATGCTACAGGTTATGCAAAAGAAATTTTTTACGGTTTGCTTGCATATATTTTTTAAACTATGAATCCAGGTTTTCATTTTGCCATTAGTATTTTAAAAACAGAATGCTGAACTGTTGCTTCTGTAAATGTTGGTTATAAGCAACCAATTTAAGTAATACAGACTATGAGCTGTGAACGACACAGACATTTGGATGAAGAGACACAGAAGTTAAAAAAGAAAAAAAAAACAACCCTGCATTACTGTGAGGTCCCTTGCGTGATTCTGTAGTGAACCACGTGTTCATTTCAAGTTCAGGTTGAGTGTTACCAATAAGAATGGTGCAGCATTAGGAAAAAGAACACCAGGACGGAAAAAATCTGCATCATTACCAGGAATGAAAAAATCTGCATCATTACTACTGCACCCTGTCCGTAGAGTACACCCTATTCTCTGCATTCCCTGTACTGGTGGAGAGGATTAGTCATATGTCTTAATACCAAGAGGAATTTGAGGGGAGCTTTGTAGGAAAAATCTGTTGTATTTTTATATCACATATGCCTTCTAAAATATTTGATTTAAGCTAATATTAAAATTGCTTTGCATTCCTTGAGTATGCTGTTTATATTTGTGAAGTCCTGACAGCAGGACTGCTTTTTATTTAGAAAGTCTAATTTATTTGTATAAATGTATGATTTTATTTGCACGTATCTATATAAGTAAAAATTAAGATAACTTGTTTGGTGCCCACAGTGGTTACAGCACTGGCCACATGCACTGAGGCTGGCAGGTTCGAACCTCTCCCCACCCCAAACTGGGCCAGCTAAGCAACGATGACAGCTGAAACAAAAAATAGCCAAGTGTTGTGGTGGGTGTCTGTAATCCTGGCTACTTGGGAGGCTGAGGCAAGAGAATCTCTTAAGCCCAAGAGTTGGAGGTCACTGTGAGCTGTGAGGCCACAGAACTCTGATCATTTCATTAATTAAGCCTGTAATTGGAAGCCACCTCATGCTACAGCTGTGTTCTTCTCACTGCCTTACTTTAACCTACTCTTAAATTGTTACGTACGACCTAGCTGCGTGTTCACTGGACACCTTGAAACTATCTGGATTATTTTTATATTTACAGTTCTAATCTGATCATACCAAGTCACTGGTTAAATTTTTATTATGGACGAGGTCATTCCCAAATCTTAAAGTGAAAGAAACAAGAATTGGTATTAATTGCAAACCAATGGGGTGGGGTCAGGGACATCTGCAAACAGCCCATCCCTGCAGCCCCCAGTTGGTGAGCAGCTGTTAGCAGTGTCTGTTCCCCCTGCCAGCTGCTGGACGCAGAGTGGCAGCAACAGGGGCTGTGGCGTTTGGTGGCTCCTGAATTCTGCCACTTAGCAGTTGTGTGACATTGGTGAAGTTGCTCAAGTTTCCTCCTCTGTGTCCAACCCTGACCTTGGGTGAGGTGGACTGTTTCCTTCAAGATATCAATTTAGTGAACCCCAGGCCCACCCCAGGGACTTCCCTTTTCATGGTCATTTGGGCTTCAAGTCCCTGTCTGAGGCTTTGCCTTCCTGGCTCTCTGAGTCTTGCCTGCATCGCATTCCTATAGATATTTTTCTTCTCCTTTGCACCCCCTGACCTGATGTTGGACTCTGACCCTTTTATTTTTCTTCCCCCAGATGGAAAAAGTGTCACATAATATCGGTGAGTCCCTTGAGCATCCTAGAGGGACATTTGTCATTGGTTACTATTCTCTGCTGTTTATAGCATTCCCTTGTCTCCTTTCTATCTGTCTACCTGGTCCTCCATCTATGCATCAACTATCATCTATCTATCATCTGTCTCTCTCTCTCTATCTTCCATCTATCTGTCATCTATCATCTGTCTCTCTCTCTCTACCATCCATCTATCCATCAACTATCATCTATCTATCATCTGTCTCTCTCTCTCTTCCATCTATCCGTCATCTATCATCTGTCTCTCTATCATCCATCTATCCATCAACTATCATCTATCTATCGTCTGTCTCTCTCACTATCATCTATCCATCAACTATCATCTATCATCTGTCTCTCTCTCTCTACCATCCATCTATCCATCAACTATCATCTATCTATCATCTGTCTCTCTCTCTCTTCCATCTATCCATCATCTATCATCTGTCTCTCTCTCTCT